GGCTCGGTGACGGCGCGCACGGTCGGTTGGGACTATGGTTTCTACCTCACGGCGGTGCTCATGGTGCCGGTGGTGTACGCATGCTACGCGTGGATTCCAGACCACCTCGATAAGCCGCTCGGTAAGAAGAAGCTCGAAGACGCTGCGAGCAAGTCAGCGGACCTCCAGGAAGAGTTTGTGCCATCGACGACGCCCGTGCCGCACTCGTTTTGGCGCGAGACGTTTGAAATCGCCAAGAACCCGGCCTTCCTCGCGTCGGCCTTTGGTCTCTCGGCCTTTACGTTTACGATCCAAGGCATGGTCGCGTTCGCACCGGCGATTCTCATTGGCTATGGACTTTTGAGTGAGTCGATCGCGTCGACGGCGTTTGGCGGCATCGTCGTCCTCGCGGGCCTCATTGGGTCGCCGCTCAGTGGCTACATTCTCGACAAGGTGGTCCGCGGCCACGAAGGTGACCGCTTCTTCCGCCTCCACCGCGCGGCGTTTCAAATGTTCGTCTCGATCGCGACCGGCGTCGCGCTCTTGCTCGTGTCGCTGGGCTTTATGAGCTCCAAGTTTGTCTTCCTCGGCCTCGTCTTTCTCGGGTTCCTCTTTGTGTTTGCGACCCAAACCGTCACGACGATCGTCATCATGATGAGCGTCTCGGACGCGCAGCGCGGGTACGCCATGGGCCTCAGCACATTCATCCAGCATCTTTTTGGCGACGTGCCCGCGGCCGTCATCCTCGGTGCGCTCAAGGACATGTGGGCGCCCAACTGCGGCAGCAAGGTAAACGCCAGCGGCAAGGATGTGCTCGACCCCAACTGCCACTTGGACAAGGACGGTCTGCGCTACACGCTCGCATTTGCGTACGGCTGGCTCCTTTGGACTGTTCTTTGCTGGGGCATCACGTACATCATTGGACGTAAGTGGCACATCAAGGCGGATGCGGCCAAGGCGCTCGCTGCGTCGCCCAGCGTCAATGTCGTGGCGCAAGAGTAGATCCGGCGTTTGGAACGATAATCTCATATTTCCTTCTCAACCTTTTGGGCGTTTCACCAAGAAATGCGCAATGTTGTCGTGTACATGTATAACGTACAAACAGAACCTCCATCCGTACCGGTAGTGACCAGCAACAACTTTTCACAGTTTCAGAGCACATGCTCGATGAATTTCACTCTCAATTCACCTCGCTGTTCAACTGCTTTGCTCCAGTTCAAGTATCAATTCAATAATGACATGTGCAGAATATCATAGGACACAGGTACAATGGTCGTGCTATTTATTCTATGTCGATCGCAGCCCCATACCGCGGTACCCGGACCTTCCTTGCCACTAAAGAGGATGAGAGTCAACGTCTATTCGTCGCATGCACAGACCCGCAAAAAGGAGTTCGTAAAATAGTAGAGTTCGCGAGCGTTGAAATTGTGTCATTGCACCATATTCAACTAGAGTTCCTCAAGGCGACGAGCCTGACCACCATGTTGACAAGGTGCTTTCGTGGTGATCATGCATTGTAAGCAATTGCCCGAGCCCTGGGTTGACATGGAAAGCTGCTGTTTGAGTGACGCCATCATCACGCCCTATCCAGCAAAACCACTGAACCGAGAAACTGAGAAGGTCGCACGTTCGATCGGCGTGGATGCGAGATCACCCAGCGGACCTCAAATCGAAGCTGCACCGGGTCGTCTCCATTCATCCTTGCAGCTATAGATCCACTTCGCATGCAGAGGCGAGAGCGCGTCAAAGGCTCGCGAAGCATCCTCGGTCCCGTCTGCGGACAGCGCGATGCTGGTCATGCAGACCACCATGTGGTCGGGTGCATGCCATCTTGTGTGTGCACCAGATGCGAAAAAGCAAAGTGGCTGCCACTCGTGTTCTTGCATCGCCATGGCCATCCAGCTTGGCGCGACGGCCATCTTTGGCATGTTCTGCTTCGTCAACCTCCT